GGAAATGCCGAAGATGATAATAATAGTAATAATCAAATAATCAAATCATATCAAATTCCGATTCAACGCTACGTGGGCCTCACCTCTCTGCTACTTTTTCTTTTGTTGTAACACCATTATTTGTTTTTCACCCATTGGCTATTTTTGATCATTATTACTTTTTTGTTTGTCACTTATTTAAATGGATATTTTTACATAATTCACTTTAACACACACAAATATATATATATTTAAATATAATTCATATATATATTTTTTATAATATAAATACAAATAATTTTATATAAAAAGTTTTATTACTATATAATATAAATATTTATTTATAATATATACACTAATTAGTTCATTAAAAGAAATTAGTTCACATACATGTGTATTTTGCATTTCTTGCATACATGTCACTTGCAATATATGTAATGTTTACATCTGTTAAGAGGGTGTGACGGAAAGGACTTGATCAAGTGGATCTTTGATCAAGTATTTCACTAATTATACTTTTTTTTTTTGTTCGTTCTTGGAGTATCCACTGTCGATAGCGGTGACTAACCTTCTCGCTACGAGGGAGACACTTCAAAAGGTGGGATAGTTGACCCTAAGATTTAACGCGGCTACATACACAAGACAGGATTCGAACCCCTAACCTTGCTTAAGCGTGAATCAACCTCTACCGCTGAATCACACGCTTGAGGTTCTCAATTATACTCCTTAAATAGGTGGAGTACTCTACACTTATATTTGATACAAAATTAATGATTGAATATTAAAATATAGTACTTAATAATAAGTAGATTTACACAAGATCTTGAGATTTTCAAGGTCTAAAAGAAAATAACAAATAATTATAAAATTTTGTTCCTAAAATAAACACAAATAGAATAAATCTTTTGAATGTTTTAAACTTGGATGACGTTTAAATCTTTTCAAATTCATTTTTCATGTTGAAACATGTAAATACTTATTCTATAATTCACGTTGATACTCCGAGATTAATTTTTAATAAAATTATTTTATTCAAAAATTAATGTTCTATAATAAATTTTAATAATTAAACTGTTAAATTAAAAAAATTTATTATGTAAATCAAGTATACAATTTTTTATAAGATTTAAAAATTGTTTGATAATTCGTTACATAAGTATAAATTAATATATGTTCATAAAAATAATTATACATTAATTTGAATTAATGTAATAAGATATCAAATAATTTTTAAATTTGATAAAAATTTATACTTATCTATTAATTAAGAATTTTTAATTTAATAATTAAATCATTGGAATTTAATATAAATTATTATTTATTAATTGGACTAACTCTACTAATAATTACTCTTAGAATAAATAAATTTTTTTTAAAAACCTAAAAATAATTATAATGTGAATTTATACTTTTAATAAAAAGGAATTGTTAATATTTTTATCATTACAAATATATATAAAAAAAATTATTCTCAATATAAATTTTTTTGGATCCGCCACTTTACAATTATGTGCAGCATAACATTTACGTACAATATATTTCAAACGTACTTATAATTTACCATTGTTATATGGTGTGCAAAATGTTCAAAGCCATTTAGACTTATTAGTACAACTACATGCATCGTAAAATTCACCTGATCAGAAATCAATACTTATTTTATTTCATTCGGTCAACCTATTTACTTATAATAAAAGGGTGATTAACCGAAAATAAAATAAAAAATTAATTAAATACATGAATTAAAAAATAAATAAATTATTGATATAGGTGATTTCTACCACGTGGTAGAGGTTATACTTGGTACAGAAAGATAAAAGATTTCTAATAAAACAAAATAGTGTTCAGATGAAACATAAAGATATTCCATCTAATAAAATAAAATAATGTTCAAATAGAGTATATGGGAATGCTCTATTTAATAAAACAAAATAATGTTAAAATGATGCAAGGGGGAGTATGTTCCATGTGTATCACACATCAATCACGTCCATGATAACTAAGATGACGCAACGAACTAATATTTTAAAAATTGGATTAGAATGATCGGTCAAATCAGTTGAACTGAGAATCGGTGATCCAGTCGGTTCAAATCTTGAATTGGATCGATTACAAACAAATATTTTATAAAACGGAAAATTTTATAAAATAATATGGATATTTTGGTTATTAATATTAAATTAAATAATTTTAAAAATTAAAAAATATAAAATGTTAAGTGTATAAATTTCTTACATTCCTAATGTTTAGAATTAATTTGTTAATGGATTTTTTGTTTTGCAAATTTATAATAATCATTACTTTTATGCAAATGTAGAGAAAAGAAGCATTTTTTTGGTTATTTTTGCTAAAAAAAAATAAAAGGAGACGTATAGACTAATGGTACAGAATAACAATTGATGGACACCTAAATTAATTTACCTCGTACAGTAAGTATTGACTGATTGAAAGTAAACAAAGTACTGTATTTAGTTGTTGTGGTAGTGTGGAGCCGAGGTAATAAATGTCTTACTCTTCAACTTCAAGTAGCGAGACAACTGAACCCAAATTTTTGGGAAAGAAAGATCAATGAACAATAGTATGATTTCAAGTGGACTGAACCGCTTCCACTGTATCCGCTACCCGCGTCTTTCCCTCTTCCAACGTCCCAAACCCCCAATTTTACTCCCATGCCGGAACATCTCTTCTCCACTCTCCATTCCTTTGTACTCGCATCTTTTCCGTATGTTACTATCTGCTCTCATCTTCAATTTCTCTTTCCAAGTGCTTACTTTTTTTCTCTTTTCGTAGACCCGAGCCCCAAGATTCCCCTCAAATGTGCATCGCTCCACTCTTCGGATTCCCCGCCACCGGACCCACCCGCCACCCAGGTTTTTATGTTACTCTTTGCTTTCAAATTTCCGATTAACTCGTGAGTTTAATCTGTTTTTGTAATATTGTTACAGACATATGTCCTAATAAAAAATGACCACCAAAATTTCATTTCATATGCTCAAATATAGTATTGGTAGATTTCTGAATTTTCTTTCCTCAGATGGAGCGAAAGTCAATGTCTATTCTGGAGATTCTGAAGCAATCAAATTCATATCTGCCTCATGTACTCCTTGCTAGTATACTGCTAGCTATACTCTACCCACCTTCTTTAACGTGGTTTACCAGCAGGTCTGTCAATGCTCTGATGAATTCATAGATAACTAGATTTTTTATGATTAGCTCTGATATAATATTTTGTGCTCTATCTCTTTAATGTTTAAAGTTTAAACTGCAAAAGCAAAATGGAATGGAATGCTGCGAACTGGTGATATGTGAAATCCAGATTCCAGAATGCATAACAGACAAATGACTTTTTATTTTTTTATAAATTTTCGGCCATAAATTCATTATTATTATGTGATCTACTTGCAGATACTATGCACCTGCACTAGGTTTTTTGATGTTTGCAGTTGGGGTTAATTCAAATGAAAATGACTTCCTTGAGGCATTTAAGAGGCCAGCAGAAATTACCACTGGTTATTTTGGCCAGTTTGTTGTGAAGCCTCTTCTTGGATATCTGTTTTGCATGATTGCAGTAACTGTTTTAGGCCTATCAACAACAGTAGGTGAGGATGATTCGTCTTAATATTAAAGAATAAAGAGAGCTACTCGGTTCCATTTTCTAATTTTTGGCAGTAAAATAAATCAGGAGCGGGAATAGTATTGGTGGCTTGTGTTAGTGGTGCCCAGCTCTCAAGTTATGCTACTTTCCTGACGGATCCACAAATGGCACCTTTAAGCATAGTTATGACATCACTGTCCACTGCTTCTGCAGTTTTTGTCACACCACTCCTTTTACTGTTGCTCATTGGGAAGAGATTACCCATCGATGTAAAAGGAATGGTGTATAGCATTACACAGATTGTGGTGGTACCTATTGCAGTTGGCCTGCTTCTAAATCGGTAATACTATGGTTTCAGATAAATGTTAATATTAGTGTTCCTTTTTTACAATTTTCATCTTCTTACCCATTCATCTTTACAGATTCTTTCCTCGTATTTGCAATGTTATTCGACTATTTTTGCCTCCGCTATCGGTACTGGTGGCAGCTATCTGTGCTGGAGCACCACTTGCCCTTCATGTTGAGACTATGAAATCCCCCTTAGGAGTCGCTATCTTGTTGCTTGTTGTTGCTTTTCATTTGTCATCTTTTATAGCTGGTTATATCCTCAGTGGATTTGTCTTCCGTGATTCCCTTGATGTGAAAGCACTGCAACGAACTATTTCTTTTGAGACAGGTGCAAAGTTTCTCCATAATCATACCTCAAATGCCTGTAATATCATGTTACTTTAATAACTTTCTTTATCTAATGGCAGGAATCCAAAGTAGCCTGTTTGCCCTGGCTCTTGCTAATAAATTCTTTGAAGATCCAGTAGTGGCTATTGCTCCTGCAATTTCTGTAATTTCTCCCTCCAGTTATACTTAAATTACTGTCATATGCTTGCCAATACAAATCCTATTTATGTATGTGTCTGCTTGATTCACATGTGATTTTATATCGCCAAAATGAAAGGGACAAATTGATATGACTTAAATGCCTTCACTGCATACTCGTTGCAACACAGCTGATTGCTTCAATGCTTTGGAAAATGCAAAGTTTTTGTTTTTGGTCAACAAAATAGAAGGCATTGAAGTATCTATTGACAGGACAATTATGTGAACAGATAGAATGTGTTAAACAATTTGTTGTTAGGACAGTTATGTGAACATTGTAGATTTTACACATTTAGTAAATTTAGGGCAGTTTTGTGTTTACTAACCATTTTATATTTATGTACACGTGTTTATTCTGTATATGGCATGTCAGTTTCTGCATTCAGTGTGGGGATTGTATAATTTGTATTTTGAGTTTGATCCAGAGAGGAAGATTCAATTTGGGGGCTTAGGCCCATGTATTGTGTGTTGAGAGATGTTTGTCTCTCCTTGAGGGACTTGTCCTTTCTTCTTCTTTCACTCTTTCGAATCTGTAGTAACTCTTTTTTCTTTTCTGGTTTAATCCAAAATATATATAAACAAGACTACCTAGTTTGTGTGTGTAATTCTCGAGTTTAACATATATCATTGCATGATTAGTCTACCTAGAGAAGTAGGGGGTAGCGTTGTTTAAAAATTATTATTCTATTGCAATATAAGTTGCTAATTTGCTTGCAGACTTCAATTATGTCTTTGATGGGATTTGCTCTCGTCCTGATTTGGACCAGAAGATGAAAGAGTGAGATAAAATCCAGCTCCTGAAAGGTACTGATATAGGAAAATATACTGCAAATTGGTTCATCTTGTATTGTAGGGAGCATCCGTACTGCTTCCCAGGAGGGACCGATGAAAGTCAGAATGATAATATCACATTGTTTTAGATTTTAGGAACATAAAAAAAGCGAGTTTGTGATTCATAAAATCAAGTTCATCACCAACTTCTTTGGTGTACTTTTATTTTTTTGAACGAAACATGGTGTAATAAAACCAAGGTGGTGTCTACAGGTACGCCAGATCCTCAAACATTAGGTGCCGTTATATGTAATAAAGTTTAATTGATGGCCGAGATTCGTAACTTGGAACTTAGTGAACACTGAACGGGCTTGGTGAAGCTACCTTTCAGAGGCTCATGATTGATGGTATTTTTGGTTGAAAGGAAAGAAAAGGATAATGATGTTCTTCCTAGTACACGATCTATAACCTTCACTTGTTACATGCATGTGTTTGCAACTTATGGCGATATGTCACAGATTCTTGGCAGCTACATTTGGGTAGGTAATCACTTCAGCTTCATAGAGAAGTACTTATCTTTGGTCATAGAGTCATGGGATTTCATATGCTGGTCAATGGTGCTTGTTCTTACTTCGTACACACCTTTACTTTGACAGGATGGAAATAGAATCCGATTCTTAATATCAAACTAGGCTATTTCCTATCCTTTGGACCCATAAATGTTGGTGATATATGCTGACACGTCAACAACCATACATAACATTTTTGTCATGTTCTAAGGGAATTTACACCATTGAATTTAATAATAAGGCGCAGAGTCAATCGTTCGGACAGTGTAGCATAGCTCATTTATTACCAGGTCATCCCATATTGAGGGAACTCTGTGCTACTCATTTTGGCAGATGCAAAAAGTTTTGCAACTGCTGACTCAGGAGTATCATTTTCCTGGATCAAATATGAAGCCCAAAAGTTTACCAAAATAGTGATTTATTCAATGCTGAAAAGTATTTAGGCAATATGACTCAGAATCACACACCATCTAGGGCATGTCAGCATGATAAGTATAGTCAACATTTAGCCAGAGAAAAAAGAATAGAGCAGCACAACAGCCATTTGCAAAGAAATTATAAATTATAATGCCATAAATCACTTCAAAGTTCAAACAGAAGTGATTCTGAAGTAGAGAAATAAAAGACATATATCATTTACATCAACATGATAGAAATATTGCAGGATAACAAACATATAACATCTCCAAGTTATGCATTGATGAAAGTTAACCTAACATTCAACACTTAATAATGTTGCAAATTCAGTTGAAAAGCATAGAAAATTCAGTTGGCAAAGTTTACATAAAGGATGAAAATAATTTGAATGACTATAGATGTATCTTACTTTTAGTATGGTGTCCGTACCAAAAGGAGAACGTAACTTTCCATAATGTTGACAAGCTATTTTAAGCAAGGAAAGAAGGAGTCTCAACCTTACACCTTGTTTATAATCCATGTCAGGTGATACACAGTGTACAATACTCTCATCTAACCATTTGTACAGTTCCTTAATTCCAACACTCCCACCAACCAATGGACCTGGGAAAGATTGCTGGCTCAGAGCATGGAAATAATCACTGGCACCATTTCCAATGCTCATAGAATCCTTACTTCCAGTGGCAACTTCTATCAAGTTCAACACAGAAACAGAACCTTGTACAGAATCCTTCGGATATAAATGAATATACAGTGTGAATCATTTTGATAAATCACTCATAAGAAAGTAAAGAATATAAAGGAAACAATATTAAGCAACCTCAAAGCCTTTCAAAAACCAGATAAAGCATAGATCAAAACTAAAAAGAGGAATCGAGAATTAACCTGGTTTCCATATGATGAGCTCAAAAGACTAGGATCTTTCATTATGATGAGTTTCCCCCCAAATCCAAAAGTTACCAGAGCATGAGAAGGACGTCCAGCTGATGATCTCCCAACATGAGGGGCGTGTGAATACTGATTTGCAGTAAAATCATTCGAAAAATAATTTTGTTCTCTGAACTTTGTGTTTGAATAATTAATCTGTTGAACAATGTCGCCACTAGGGCCAAAGCTTTGTGGTTCAAAAGTTCCATTAGCCAAACCATGATCATGGTTTACTTTATTGCAAACAACTGATCCAAAGGAAGTAGAAGAATTTTGTAGATCTTTGTTCACAGAAATACTTGAACCATAAGAATGATTAACTTGTTGGTTACCAGCAGAAGTTATATTATCCCGTCTTTTAGTAGCAGTACCAGTTGTGTAGATATCAAAACCCTGCCGATGGTTAGCGTCATACAAACCACCCCAGCTGCCATCTACAGCCTGATTATCAACACCCGGTGGTCCATAATTATCAGCTTGGCTATACTCATTATACAAACTATTATCATTGGATGAGAAAGTACTGGTAGAAGCATGCCCATTTTCAAGTACATGAACAGAAGACTGGTTGGTTGAATTGTAAGTTTCCACTGAACGCCATTCTTGGGCAATTGTGTCATAATACCAACCAGGATACTGAGGATCAAAAACCATATGCTCCGGATACCCATTATTCCCTTGTGAAACCTGACTCCAACTAGACACATTTTCAGTTGTGCCAGTTTCAGCTAATGTTCCAGCAAAAGATTGTGCAGTTTGCTGCATGTAAGAGATCTCTGTTTTCCCATCAGAATGGGCTGTCCAATGCCCCGCTGCATTGGCTTCAGAGCTTTGCTGAGTAGTGGCTGTTACACCATAGCCATCTTCTTGATACCATTGCCCAGTGTTGTAATCATACTTCCAGCCAGGATAAAGATCCTCCCAATACTGACTACTACTCAGATCTTGTCCATTTGCGTGTTCTTCTGAAGATGCAACATAAGCTTGACCTTTTTCATTTTGTTCATTATTAACTGAAGTATTTAAGCCATCACCTTGCCGGTTTGTGTGGCTTTCTAAAGATGCATCATAACCTTGACCCTCTTGATATTGCACATAATTACCAGAGGCATTTAAGTCATCATTTTGAAGTTCATTACCAGGCTTCACCTCACTACTTAAATTATCATGCGTGTTAAATAATTATTTTATAATAAATTTATTAAAAAATATTAATGTTTTAAATTATTTAAAATCAAATTAAAATTAAGATATTTGTAAGGAATAAAAAAATTAAATGATCACTATATCAACTCCTAAAAATATTTTAGTTTAGAAAATTTTCCTAAAATTAAGAATAGGAAATTCTAAAATTAAGACATTTTCTAAAATGTTTTTTGTTTTTGTTTTTAGAGTAACTCTTAAAAACATTTTTCTTTAAGACCTACTAAGTCATTGGATCAAACTAATTTTGAAAATTTTAGTTTTTAGAAGGAATTATAATTTTTTATATGTAATTATTTTGGAAAATATTTTTTATTCCATTTCAAAATAAAAAAAATTAACACACAAATTTTCATATTAGATAACTTTTTTTTAGATTTTTTTAACAAGATTTATAATTTTTTAAATTTTGTAATTAAGTCCTTGGACATAACTAAACTGACAATAATAGTCATTAATTTTGATGACTTGATTAAAAGATTCAAAAATATTAAATATTCAATCACAAATTCTTAAGATTTAGATTCACTCACTTGACATTTTGTTAAGGGTATGTTTGAGAAAGAAAAAGTAAAGAAAAGTTGTAGAAGTTAAAAAATGAGTATTATTTAGTAAAGAAGAATTGAGGAGAAGAGTGAACATATAATCTTACTATC